GCCAATCTTTGTTCTGACACTAATACAGTGGACCCCCGGTTAACGATATTTTTTCACTCCAGAAGTATGTTCAGGTGCCAGTACTGACCGAATTTGTTCCCATAAGGAATATTGTGAAGTAGATTAGTCCATTTCAGACCCCCAAACATACACGTACAAACTCACTTACATAAATACACTTACATAATTGGTCGCATTCGGAGGTGATCGTTATGCGGGGGTCCACTGTATTAGGAACTGAAATAGTATTCAAATAGTCATAATCACACAAGCATGTGTACATTTTTTACTTGCCTTGGTCATTTGCTATTGTCTAGAAATATATACAAAGTATTTATAGGTCTCAGCAATGTTACAGACATGCTGGAGCATACTTGAATCTTTTTGAAGCATGGTGTTTATGACAAGTGTCACTAAACTGCTGACAGGGTAAGCAGGGGAGTGACACAATGATAGTGCCCTGCTGCAGAGAACCCTGGCTTTATCTGTTTGCACTGTTACACACAAACATGTATGTCTGTCTATCTGTATCTGTCTGTCTCTCTGTATCTCTCCTCATCTTTTTGTCTGCCTGTGTCTGTGTGTCTGTCTTTCTGTGCCTGTGTGTCTCTGTCTTTCTATGTGTGTGTCTGTCTTTCTGTCTGCCTGTGTGTCTCGGTCTTTTTGTCCGAATACGTGTCAGTTTTTCTGTCTGCCTGTGTCTCGGTCTTTCTGTCTACTTGTGTGTGTCTGTTTTTCCATCTGCCTGTGTGTGTGTGTGTGTCGTTCTGTCTGCCTGTGTGTCTCAGTCTTTCTATCCGAATGTGTGTGTGTCTTTCTGTCAGCTTGTCTCTCAGTCTTAGAGAGCAGCTCATAAACAGGTATTACACACGATGCAGTAGTCACGTCTGATCCCTGATGAAGTAAAAATGTGTATTACTTGCTGAGTTGCCAGTCATGGATATTATGTCTCCTATCTACAAGTACTGTAGAGAACTTTGCCTGGAATTTTTGGGTTACCCTAGGTAATTTACACTATGTATAATAACATCTACTTATGTGTACATGTGAAAGAGATACAGACAGACAGAGATATAGACAGAGATATAGACAGACAGAGATATAGACAGACAGGATATAGACAGACAGAGATATAGACAGACAGAGATATAGACAGATAGACAGCCAGTGGTATCAAAAATGAAGGGAAGTTGCACAGATGTTACACATGGGTTATTATAGAAGTTTTTGATATTTCCTCAATCACTTGTGGCCACATCCATAACTTTCCTCTTACAAGGGGAGTGTTAACCCGTAAACGGTCCAAACGTATATATACGTTTTTTCAACATTTGAAAGTATGTAAAATAAGTAGGTCTTCTTTTTGTTTTTTTACATTTGAAAATGTGTAAAAAAACTTTGATCTACTTTTTTTTTTCTTATATTTGAAAATATGTAAAAAAAACGTAGATCTACTTTTGTAGCACTACACATGTGAACGTAGATCTGCTTGGACTGTTTACGGGTTAATATGACATGACATCAGTGAATCCTTGGTGTTTGCCACAATATTAGCTCTATATGGCGCTCAATTTTACTGGTGCTCCAACAAGGTACTAAGTGGTCCAGGATTTTTTTAATGCTGCACACACTGTGCATTAAGACCCTTTCTATACTTGCCAGGCATCTCAGCCCAATCATGCCAAATTTGGAGGCAGGAAAAATAAAACGTAGATCTACGTTTGGAGCAGTAGTCGTGCAAACGTAGATCTACGTTTGGACAGTTTAAGGGTTAAATACTCAATTGTACTTCATATCGTAAATTGTTTAAACTGTTCTATTGTAATACTGTAATTTTTATAAAGTAATTCAAAACTGTAATTATTCACTACTAAACTTCTCTACCAGACCTATTAAAGCCACATAGCATTACCTATTATCCTCAAGTCTCTGTACTCACTGTAACTCACCTAATGACCATTTAATCTGTTACAGCATAATTAATATCAAGTTAATTTTAAGTTTGCCCAAAATGCACTGCACACAAGGGGCTTTTGCCATGTACACTCAACTATTATATTCCACTGTACAACTGTACATTATGTCAAAATAAAATACTATTATTATTATTATTATTGTTCTTATACAGTGGTATCTTGACTTACGAGTTTAATTCGTTCCATGACCGAGCTCTAACTCAATTTACTCGTATATCAAATCAAGTTTCCTCATTGAAATTAACTGAAATGCCATTAATCCATTCCAGCCCCACAAAAAATACCCCAGGGACAGGAGAAACTACTTCAATATATAGTTTATTTGGACATGATACATAGTTGCACAAGGAATTATAGTAGTTGGGTGTACATGCCAAAAGCCCCTTGTATGCAAAGCATTATGGGCAGGCTTAAAATTAACTTAAAATTAACTAAGCAATGAAAGGCTCAGTGGTAAAAATTACCATAAACAATTTACAATATGAAGTATAACTGAGTATTTGAAACAATGAAATTTGAACATTTTGATTTTGAAGCATCAGAGTTGTACAAGTTTGTCGCATTACAATGTATAACAAACAAGATGATCAATTTACTATATGTTGTCTTGAAGTTTTAAGGTTTAAGTAATTGGGAGATTTATTGGTAATGTTGAATACTGAGTGCTGATTATTTAGTCCTGGGCGAGTAAGTGTTTTTTTTAGAAGAGTCTTAAATTGATTTTTAGGCCTGGTTACTTTAGTATGTTCTGGTAATGAATTCCAGATTTTGGGGCCCTTTATGTGCATGGAGTTTTTACACAGTGTGATATGGACACAGGGTACATCAAAAAGAGATCTGTGTCTTGTGTTATGGTTGTGTGTCCTGTTAAGTTTGGTGAGGAGAGGTTTGAGTAGAGGGTTTATGTTTGCATGTATTGTTCTATGTATGTAGTAGGTACATGAATAAGTATGGGTGTTCTTTATGGTGAGCAAATTTAGACCTTTGAACAGAGGTGGAGTATGCTGTTGTGAGTGGGAATTTGTTATCATTCTGATTGCAGCCTTTTGCTGGGTTATTAAGAGGCTTTAGGTGATTTCATGTTGTTGATCCCCATACGGGTAGATGAGTGAATGATACAGAGCAAGGAGAGCTGATTGTGGAACATAGTACCATATCTTTGATAGTATGCCTACTGTCTTAGAGATTTTCTTGGAAATTTGTTGTAATTGTGTCCGGAATTTGAGGCTACTGTCTAGGTGGATTCCTAGGAATTTTCCCTCTGTGAGTCTTGTGATGGGTGATCCATTTAGCACTATGTTAAGTGGAACATTTGCAGCTCTAGTTCCAAACTGAATGAAATAGGTTTTGTCAGTATTTAGGGTAAGTTTATTAGTCATCATCCAGGTAGATATTTTCTGTAATTCAGCATTGACAGTGTTGGCGAGTATGACTGGGTTTGGGTGTGAGAAGACGTATGTAGTATCATCTGCAAATAATATGGGTTTGAGTAGCTGTGATGCATTCGGTAAGTCATTGATGTAGATGAGAAAAAGGAGTGGCCCAAGGACACTTTCCTGTGGGACTCCTACTGTGATTGGTCGTGTGGAAGAGTTTGCACCGTCTGCGTACACGTATTAGCTTCTGTTACTAAGGTATGACTTTAGGTACTTGAGGGAGTAGCCTCTTATACCATAGTGTGTTAATTTAGTGTGCAGCAATTCATGTTCGACTGTATCAAAAGCTTTTACGTCAGTCGATGAAAATTCCCAGTGGGACTTCTTTCTTCTCAAGAGCAGTATATGTTAGTTCTAGCATATGTATAATGGCATCATTTGTGCTTTTATTATTCCCAAATCCAAACTGACAGGGGTTTAGTATATTGTTTGAGATGAGGTAGGATTAGATCTGTCTAGGAATTAATTTTTCAAAGATTTTAGAGACTAGTGGTAAGTTAGAAATTGGTCTATATCTCAGAAGTAAGTTATTGACTTATTTCATGAAGCCCACTATTTATTACTGAAGCAAATGCAATAATATTGACAGGAATCATAAAAAAAATGATTGTTCTCCAATTGGCTTGTGGAATATTGGAAATATTCCAAATATTTTGGGATTTGTGTGGGAGTAAAGGGCAAGATATTTTGCAAATGTCAAAAACTTAGCAACTTTATTTTTGTAGAATAACTAAAGATAATTACACGATTACCTCCAGTGAGAACATCGCACTAGCATTGTTTTATAAGTACCAAGTTCTAAAACCACCTTTTGTTGTGCCATTCAGGCTCGTAACTCGGAAAACTCAAGTTGGGGCACTCATAAGTCAAGGTACCATTGTATTAATTAGCCAATGGTAAAACTGGCTTCATTATACGTCATTTTGCTTAAGATGCAGTTTCTAAGAACCTATCAACATTAATTCAATTCAATTCAATTCAAGTTTATTCTCTATAAGGGTTCCAATGTGGGGTTTACAGGTTTTGGGTATTGTGTGGTTTACATGTTATAAAATACTAATTACAGAGGGGGCCACTAGGACACCTAGCATGGCTAGGCATTTCGAGCAGACTTAGATTAATTCTTAACATTAAACCCTTACAGATTATGGTATTAAGGCTAAGTGACTACATCATAATTTGTGAGTTATGACTTACTGTACTAAATCAGTATAGTAATGGACTTTTAAAACAATGAGTAAAACCTGCTTTGCTAAATTGTACTTTTAATTCAGTTTTTAATGTTTATTTTAAAACCTGCTTTGGTAAATTGTACTTTTAACTCAGTTTTTAATGTTTATTTGACTATATCTGCTAATCATGTGTATAGTACTGTATCATTATATGTACTGATTTAACAGACACTCGGAGAATCCCCATTAGTCTATTAAATCAAGGGGTTCCTTTAATATTATGTGAAAATGATGAGTGCATTACTGTAATGTACTTAAATATCATGATAAACTTTCACTTTGTTATAGTGTTGAAAAATTTTAACATACCTAAAGTATACAGAATTTGCAGTATTTAATACAGAAGAATATCTAACCTTATATGGCTTTGAAATTTGATCAAAGACTTTCCCTAATTTCTGCTCTCGTCCAGAGGTGGTCAGAGCAGAAAAGATGAGACAAACTGCTGCCACACCTAAGACCAATGCCATTACACGAAATGGTGTCATTGGCAATTTTGGTAACATCAAACTAGGTGCCATCTGAAAATGCAATACAGTACGTATATGGCTACAATTAGATATTAATACTTTGTTTATACATTCATTACATGCATAGCCCCTACAATAGCAGCTACCTAAACAAACATTTAATTTCTTTGTGCAGTATAAAAAATGTGGTTTATATGAACAGCAGAACCCTTGTATCCACTGATCCAGTATCCACGGTTTCAGTTATCCATGGGTTACTGTGGCCCAAAAATGCCTCTTGATTTTGCATTAACAGAGAAGCTGGAAGTTCTTCAAAGCCTAAAAGAAGCCGTGAAGTGCTTCCCATTAGTGAAAAGGTTGTAATTCTCCACTTACTGTGCATAATTTATCAATTAAGCTTTATAATAGGTGTGTATAGGACTTATACAGAGGGTTTGCTACTACCCACAGTTTCAGTATCCATGGCAGGTCCTTGGAACGTATACCCTGTGGATGCAGGGGTCCTACTCTAATAAAACAGAATATTTACGTAAAGGAGAAAAGCAAACGTATTATAATTTATTTTTATTTTGGCGTTTATCACGGTAGTCTTTTCTTTTGTACCATCTACTGATTTTTTTAATTCTTCTTCTTCTTCTTCTTCTGTTGGGTTTCAGGGCCACTGACAGCATACGCCGTATTTTTTAATTCTGTACTTTGCTTCTCTGCATTTGTGTAGCCATTGTTGGCCTTTGTTTTGTATGAATCATCCTCCTATATCAGAATTTTTATTGCTTGATTTATACCTGGAGTATACCTGGAGAGGGTTATGGGGGTCAACACCCCTGCAGCCCAGTCTGTGACCAGGCCTCATGGTGGATCAGAACCTGATCAACCAGGCTGTTACTGTATGAACCACAGCCTGGCTGGTCAGGTACGTACTGACTTTAGGTGCCTGTCCAGCGCCTTCTTGAAGACAGCCAGGGGTCTATTGATAATCCCCCTTATGTATGCAGGGAGGCAGTTGAACAGTCTAGGCCCCCTCACACTTATTGTGTTGTCTCATATCTTGCTAGTGGCACCTCTGCTTTTCATTGGGGGGATGTTGCATTGTCTGCTGAGTCTTTTGCTGTCATAGGGAGTGATTTGATTTTTGTGTGAAAGTTTGGTACTAATCCCTCTAGGATTTTCCAAGTGTATACAATCATGTATCTCTCCCGCCTGCATTCTAGGGAGTACAGGTTGAGGAACTTCAAGTGTTCCCAGTAACTGAGGTGTTTTATCACAGTTATGTGTGTCGTGAAGGTTCTCTGTACATTTTCTAGGTCAGCACCTTGAAAGGTGCTGTTATTGTGCAGCAATATTCCAGCCTAGATAGAACAAGAGACCTGAAGAGTGTCATCTACCAACTTTTCTTGTTATTCCTTTATCATGCATTTTGTGTGCTATTACACCATGGTTACATTTGTCAAAGGCTTTTACAAAGTCTGTGTATACATCTGCATTTTGTTTATCTTCTAGAGCATCCTGTCCCAACTACTGGACCTTGTCAAAGTGGTCCAGTAGTTGGAACAGGCAATAGAGACCTGCTCTAAACCTGTGTTGCCCTGGGTCATGTAACTGATGGGTATCTAGATGGGTGGCGATCTTGCTTCTTAGAACCCTTTCAAAGATTTTTATATGGGATGTTAGCGATATTGGTCTGTAATTCTTTGTTATTGCTTTACTGCCCCCATTGTGGAGTGGGGCAATGTCTGTTGTTTTTAGCAGCTGTGGGATGACCCTTGTGTCCATGCTTACTCTCCATAGGATGTTAGGATGTTTAAAGCACACGACAGGGGTTTCTTGCAGTTCTTGATGAACACAGAGTTCCATGAGTCTTGGCCTGGGACAGAGTGATGGGCATGTCATTTATCGCCTTTTCTAAATCATTTGGCATCAGGATAATATCAGATAGGTTTGAGTTTACAAAATCCTGTGTCCTGCTTCATCAATTTTTTTTTCCATTTTCTGTTATTCCTTTCCTCAAGCCTTCATATAAATAAATAAATAAATAAATAAGTAAATAAATAAATAAATAAATAAATAAATAATTATTATTATTATCACACTGGCCGATTCCAACCAAGGCAGGGTGGCCCGAAAAAGAAAAACTTTCACCATCATTCACTCCATCACTGTCTTGCCAGAAGGGTGCTTTACACTACAGTTTTTAAACTGCAACATTAACACCCCTCCTTCAGAGTGCAGGCACTGTACTTCCCATCTCCAAGACTCGAGTCCGGCCTGCCGGTTTCCCTGAACCCCTTCATAAATGTTACTTTGCTCACACTCCAACAGCACGTCAAGTATTAAAAACCATTTGTCTCCATTCACTCCTATCAAACACGCTCACGCATGCTGCTGGAAGTCCAAGCCCTCGCACACAAAACCTCCTTTACCCCCTCCTCCAACCTTCCTAGGCCGACCCCTACCCCGCCTTCCTTCCACTACAGACTGATACACTCTTGAAGTTATTCTGTTTTGCTCCATTCTCTCCACATGTCCGAACCACCTCAACAACCCTTCCTCAGCCCTCTGGACAACAGTTTTGGTAATCCCGCACCTCCTCCTAACTTCCAAACTACGAATTCTCTGCATTATATTCACACCACACATTGCTCTCAGACATGACATCTCCACTGCCTCCAGCCTTCTCCTCGCTGCAACATTCATCACCCATGCTTCACACCCATATAAGAGCGTTGGTAAAACTATACTCTCATACATTCCCCTCTTTGCCTCCAAGGACAAAGTTCTTTGTCTCCACAGACTCCTAAGTGCACCACTCACCCTTTTCCCCTCATCAATTCTATGATTCACCTCATCTTTCATAGACCCATCCGCTGACACGTCCACTCCCAAATATCTGAATACATTCACCTCCTCCATACTCTCTCCCTCCAATCTGATATCCAATCTTTCATCACCTAATCTTTTTGTTATCCTCATAACCTTACTCTTTCCTGTATTCACTTTCAATTTTCTTCTTTTGCACACCCTACCAAATTCATCCACCAATCTCTGCAACTTCTCTTCAGAATCTCCCAAGAGCACAGTGTCATCAGCAAAGAGCAACTGTGACAACTCCCACTTTATGTGTGATTCTTTATCTTTTAACTCCACGCCTCTTGCCAAGACCCTCGCATTTACTTCTCTTACAACCCCATCTATAAATATATTAAACAACCACGGTGACATCACACATCCTTGTCTAAGGCCTACTTTTACTGGGAAATAATTTCCCTCTTTCCTACATACTCTAACTGGAGCCTCACTATCCTCGTAAAAACTCTTCACTGCTTTCAGTAACCTACCTCCTACACCATACACCTGCAACATCTGCCACATTGCCCCCCTATCCACCCTGTCATACGCCTTTTTCCAAATCCATAAATGCCACAAGACCTCTTTAGCCTTATCTAAATACTGTTCACTTATATGTTTCACTGTAAACACCTGGTCCACACACCCCCTACCTTTCCTAAAGCCTCCTTGTTCATCTGCTATCCTATTCTCCGTCTTACTCTTAATTCTTTCAATAATAACTCTACCATACACTTTGCCAGGTATACTAAACAGACTTATCCCCCTATAATTTTTGCACTCTCTTTTATCCCCTTTGCCTTTATACAAAGGAACTATGCATGCTCTCTGCCAATCCCTAAATAAATAAATAAATAAATAAATAAATAAATAAATAATTAAATAATTAAATAAATAAATATATATATATATATATATATATATATATATATATATATATATATATATATATATATATATATATATATATATATATATGCGCCGTGCAAATAGGCAGAACTTGCGATCTTGGCTTAAATAGCAACGCTCATCTTGCCATATAGGACAAGCGAAAATTTGTGTATGGAATAATTTCACCAAAATCATTCTGAACCTAACGAAAAAAATATATTTCACTGTGTTTGTCTAGTATTAAATTATTGTAAACAAATCTAAAATATATTTAGTTGGGTTAGGCTAAAATAAATTGTTCTTGTTATAATAAGGTTAGGTAAGTTTTCTAAGATTCTTTTGGTTCAAAATTAAAAAATTTTACTTTAACATTAATGAAAAAAAATATATCTTTAAATGTATAAAAGAAAATTTCAGAAAGGACTTAATTTTAAATGAGTTCTTGCTAGCTGACCAGTTTTACATATTCGGCACGACATATATATATATATATATATATACTATATATATATATATATATATATATATATATATATATATAAAATATATATATATATATTATATATATATATATATATATATATTATATATATATATATATATATATATATATATATATATATATATATATATAAGGTAGTAGGTTGGTAGACAGCAACCGCCCAGGGAGGTACTACCGTCCTGCCAAGTGAGTGTAAAACGAAAGCCTGTAATTGTTTTACATGATGGTAGGATTGCTGGTGTCCTTTTTTTTCTGTCTCATAAACATGCAAGATTTCAGGTACGTCTTGCTACTTCTACTTACACTTAGGTCACACTACACATGCATGTACAAGCATATATATGTATATATACACATCCCTCTGGGTTTTCTTCTGTTTTCTTTCTGGTTCTTGTTGTTGTTTATTTCCTCTTATCTCCATGGGGAAGTGGAACAGAATTCTTCCTCCGTAAGCCATGCGTGTTGTAAGAGGCGACTAAAATGCCAGGAGCAAGGGCTAGTAACCCCTTCTCCCGTATAAATTACTAAATTTAAAAAGAGAAACTTTCGTTTTTCTTTTTGGGCCACCCTGCCTTGGTGGGATACGGCCGGTTTGTTGAAAAAAAAAAAAAAAAAAAAAAAAAAAAAAAAAATATATATATATTATATATATATATATATACATATATATATATATACATATATATATATATTATTATATATATATATATAACATATATATATATACATATATATATATATATACATATATATATATATATATATTATATATATATATACATATATATATATATATACATATATATATATATACATATATATATATTATATATATA